TAGTGAATTAAAAAAAAAGCAGTATAAAAACCGGAATGTCCAACTGATAAGGCTGAAAATTTTTCCACTTGTTATTTGCAGTAAGATAAATACATTCACCAACTTTTATTAAAATAAAACCGTTTAAACTGGGTGTTCGGATTTATATGTCACTTAGTATATTATAGTATTTACAAATATATTACAGCTTTGGGAACTTACATTTTTATACTTCACAAAAGGCATGTCTCAAATAACATAATAGGGGCGGCTTCCTTATCTTTTGTAGGTTAATAATTTAACTATAATGGGTACTAAAAGAAGTATTTGGATGCTAGACAAAGTTCACATTGTCAAGATGACAAGTACTTTTAGTTTTTATTTATCATCACAAGGAAACGAAAGAAACACTTTCAGATGCCGCCAAATCTACCAGTGCTTAGTTACAAAAAGTGTGGAGGAAAGCAAATGTTTTTGTTAAAACGGAAGAGAACAAACGTGCCGGTATTCGAACGTTGTACAAAAAATACCAAAATTTGTACAAAGACAAATCCAGGAATACAGATAGAGCAAACAAATGTGAATCGGCAAATTTGGAAAGATGATCTCGTTGAATTATTTGTCATTTCTCGACAAAATGTGATGGAAATGACTAACGTGTTACAAGACAAAGAATTTCTTAGGTTATAAGAGCAAACATGACAAAGATATCGCAAAAAACAGTGAAGTAGTTACGTTGGAAGACTCATATCCATCATCATCAACACCTAGTGATGAAGAGAACAGCTTTCTATTCGACAAGCAAGTGCTTCATTCATGTTTCCCAAATTCCTATATCTCCAGCTACCGTATACCGAGCTCGGAAGATCAATAGAAGGAAAATATCAAAATGAGAGTCTATTTTTGAAAATCCTCCTCCTTTAGTCTTGCATTGGGATAGTAAGCTATTGCCATCAGTCGCTCATGAAAACATCAAAACCCTGGAAGATAGAGTAGCGGTTCTAGTGACTTGCCGCTGGCCGAAGTTGTTATCCGGGAAGTGGACAGATTTGGGGGCTACACGACAATATCATTGATATGTGTTTTGATACTACTGCATCCAATACAGCACTGCTCCAAGGGGCATGTACCAGAATAGAAAAGGAATTTGGGCGAATATCATTGTGGTTGGCTTGCGCTCATCATACCCATGAATCATGAATTAATACTCAACGGAGTGTTGGAGAAGTCTTGTAGTTTACCATCAAGTGGAACTGATATTCAGATACTCCGCAAGTTTCAAACTATGTGCAAGATTTCTAGAGGAACGACGCGCGATGATGGTAAACTACATTCAAAGTGTCCTAAAAGATAGAGGTCATCCAAGAGAGTAGTATAAGGAGTTATTGCAATTGTCACTCCTTTACTTAGGCGGTTGGACTCAAAACGATTTCCTTTTCATGAACCCAGGTGCTTTGCATCAAGCAAGATGGATGTCAAAAGCAATCTATGCACTTAAAATAGTCCTCTTCGCTGAGCAATTGAAAGGAATGAAACGGGTAGCTAACATAATTCTGTCAGTCTCATATATGTTCGCTTTTGGCATGAGGCCACTCCAAAGAACGATGTCGATTTGCTACAGCTTCTGAACACTTTCCCAGACGAAGACGTCAAAGTGCTGTCGCAGTTGCCAGAAGACACCTTTGATATCTGTCAGATTGGCCTTTTTTGATGAACGTATCATCGAAGAAGTTAGAAAAAATTATGATTGAAAATTTGGAAACCACGCCCGCCAAGAAAAAGGCTCTGAAACATTTAGAGGGCAAAAACGTGCAGCATCAGGTGGTTCACGATGAAATTTCAACTTTCGTTCTAAATATTTTTAATATGTTTTGATGTATTCCTGACATACAGCTGTGTGTATTTTATATTAATTTTAACAAATGTACCATGTATCCAGCTTTCACCAGGCTACTAAATGTTTCCCTCAACCTAACCATTAATAATATTTAGTAACAATCTCACATACTAATCTCCTGATGAAGATGGCAAAGTCCATTGAAAGCTAGAGACTAACAAAGTATAAAGAGTCCTCATTGCTTGAATTTTGAGGATTTATATATATATATATATATCATCAGGCCTGAATGCACATATGCAACCACAAAAGTAGATACACATGCCATTGCATCCGGATACGGGTGTAACCTGAGGAAACGAAGATGGAAAGGGAAAAAAATTCTGACATTCGAAGTCCCCAACAAAAGCCAACATACACGTTATAGTATACAATTGCTAGAAGACCTCGAATTTTCAAGGCGACAAATAACCAAAACCACGAGTTCGATTATAGCTAATTGCTGTGGTACTTCCAGCCCAAAGGATCTACAAAGAGAAAATGATCATGCGGAGAAAGGTATATAACAAGTCAACAAGCAGAAATACACATCGCTCGGGTCACCTATCCTATTTTCTGCTCTAATCCACTATACTTCTTTTTGCGGATTTTGCCCATTATTTTCCTATTTTTTGTATATACAGGGTGGCGCATCGAAAACGAAACAGACGCATTTACTGGCAGCTCAGTTTTTTTTTTAAAACGCTCAGACCCGTCGATTTTGTTTTCGAGGGGGACACAAGTTTGGCAAAAAATCACGTTAACACGTGCAGCCCCCTGGGCGGGGGTGACACCAACCCTAAAATCTTAAATGGAAAGGGGTTCCAGTGATACCTTATTTTAAAGGTCTTTCAAATTCCCTTTTTAATGATGTAAAATACATGAGTTTCAGTTCAGTAGTTTTGAAGATTTATTGATTTAAAGCTTAAATAAAACTAATATAATACATCATCATTATTGGAGATCAAAACATTTGGCAGCAAAGTAATTTAAAAATGAAGAATGAACTGACCCGTCAGGCAAGTAAATGTTGAAAATGGCCACCATGACTCTCCAAGCAATAATAAAGATTTTGGTCAAAACGTTGCAGCACATTTTGCAATATTTGAGGAGTAATATTTGAAGGCACTCATTCACAATTCTGTGTCGCAGGTCTTCTAATGATGTTGGCTGAGTAGCATAGATTTTTCTTTTTAAATGACCCAACATAAAGAAATCCAAAGGTGATAAATTTGGCGATCTTGGGGGCCATTCAATGGCACCTCTTCTAGCAATCCATCGATCTGGAAACGTCTGATCTAAATATTGTCGAACACGTTCCTGTTGGAACATCAACCTATTCGCAATGTACCGCCGATCATTCTGATTTTCAATTATAGCTGTTAATGCAGGATCTATGGCGTCTTCCAGTAATTCCAAATACATTTCACCGGTCAAAATTTCCAGGTAAGAAAAAAGGACCATAAATGATCGCCAAAAATACCAGCGCAAACATTTAATTTTTGTGGCGGCTGTGTATGAACCTCATGATAAATTCTGGGATTAGAATCGGTCCAATATCGGCAGTTATGACGATTTACTACGCCATTTAAGAAAAGGAACATTCGTCGGAAAAGCACGTGTTGAATAGAAAATGTTCATCGTTTATAATTCGTTCACTCATATCTTCACAAAATTGTAATCGCCGAACAAAATCATCTTCATTAAGTTCTTGTACCAGGTGAATTTTATAAGGATGAAAACCGTTGGACAGTACGTCGACTAACACCACACACAGTTTCCAATTTGCGGGTACTCAACGTAGGATCTACATAAACTTGCCCTAAAACCCCCACTTCTATTGCTTCGTTCCTTATGGGATTTTCAATGTTGCGCTTTTTATTGGCGACTGACCCAGTTTCCCGAAGTTCTAGAACATATTTTCGATGCACGTTACTTTTCTCATGTTGCTCATTAAATATTTCTGCTGTTCTATTAGCGCACTGATTATTTCCGAAAAATATTTCGATAATTTCAACTCTTTCTGCTGTGGAATATACCATGGTTAATTTATGAAATAAAGCGTTACAAGTTAGTTAGCAACAAAGTTTGGTCAAATCAATCGCAAACTATGTACTAAATTCCTATTTAAAATAAGTACGAGATATTTCCTTATCTTTCTTCAAGAAATAACTTTTTTGCCACAAAAAAAGACGCTCCAATAGGTATTTTCAACAACAAAATGATAAACAAATCATGGGCGTAGTGAAGGAAAGCATTTACATTAAGTAAATTCTTTTAATCCAATTTCTTCTGAAAGTAGTACAAACTAATCTGATGTCCCTATTAAAGTCTACTTTAAGCTTTAAATCAATAAATCTTCAAAACTACTGAACTGAAACTTATGTATTTTAGATCATTAAAAAGGGAATTTGAAAGACCTTTAAAATAAGGTATCACTCGACCCCCTTTCCATTTAAGATTTTAGGGTTGGTGTCACCCCCGCCCAGGGGGCTGCACGTGTTAACATGATTTTTTGCCAAACTTGTGTCCCCCTCGAAAACAAAATCGACGGGTCTGAGCGTTTTTCAAAAAAAAACTGAGCTGCCAGTAAACGCGTCTGTTTCGTTTTCGATGCGTCACCCTGTATATATAATCTTATCGAGTTTTGGTGTACATGGTATGTTTCAAATTACTTAGATTCTGTGAGCGATCCAAATCTGTCAAAATTTTACGCTTCATTTTTTTGCCCTATAATATGAAACACCCCATTGTATATGAAAAATTTAACTTTAGTGAAAAATGTTCTATTTAATTTTTGCCAATCTAGGGAAAAGGGGGCAGTGAATCAGTCGCAAAGCAAGTGATTAACTGTCTCCTATCCTTGCTTACGTCCCTTACGCAAGGATGTGTCATAGTATCACACTAAAAAGATGCTTCCTTAGCTGACAGCGCCTAGGTGCAACGCCAGTAGCAAACAGAAGATGTTGCCTGCCTGGACATAGACATAAATAGGCAGCATTTTTGCTACTAAATCATTTGGTTCTCGAGCAAATAAACCCGAAGTATCATCCAACATGTTTTTGTGGATTTTTACCAAGTATGATCTTCAGGGTCATAAATCATTAAAAACAGAATTGAAATTGATGAAAGTAATAGAAGGTACTCACCAATTTCAACTGCAGACTTATCAATCATCGGTAACATCACCCTGGTCCTTGAATGGTTTGCAATCAATCAGAATATTCAGTCTTATGAAGCTCAAAATCTGTTTGGCACTGGTTGAACTTTGAACTGACGGCATTTGAATCATATGTGAACAACATATTTACCGACTTAAGTGCCAATTCTCGTAAAGGCGCAGGCTGTCTATTACTCATATAAAGTCTCAAAACTTCAATCACATTTCCAATATGTTTTTCATTTATGTCCATGTCCACCAAAACATGCCCAATATCTTTCAATATTGCTAGCTGCAACTTATAGGTTTGGGTGTATCTGTAAGGTGATCCTCTATCCTTCATGTAGCTTTTGCGCGACAGTTTCTCCAACAAATCTAATATATGTGGCAAAGCTTCCTTGGTAGTTCTATACCGTATGAAATCCTTAGAAACTCTGGCAAGTATTATTAACAGCTTGAAACTGTAGTTGGTGACGAGTGGGTCGTCTATTTCTTTGAAATGGTCCACAAGAGGCGACCAGACCTTATGGACGATAGGCAAAAGCTCATCTTCCCAGTCTTGTAAAATCTCTACTCCATTTATAAATATCTCCAGTGCTTTGAGTCTAAGTTCATTGTTTTTGGATGGGATGAAATTTAGTGCCTCGCATAATATATCAGTTAGCAATCTGACATATAGTGGGGGTTTAGGTTTCTTATACTCAGCAATCTCTGGTACCTCAACTTCTTTTAGCAGCTCCTCTTGATTTTTCTGCATATCTTCTGCAGAGTTTCTCGTGACAGCCTCGTCTGAAAAATCATCTTGTTCTTCAATTCCAGTAACCTTGAAGCCTTCCGCTTCTTTATAACGCTCTTCTCTAGATTTGACATCATTGACCTTTGTTACAATTCCCAACCAACTTCGCAAAGTTAGCACAAACTCATTGAATACTTCAAGATATGATAAGGTAAATTGCTTATTTTCATGGAACGAATTGATACTATCTTCTATCAGTATCGATACATATGGCAAAACGTCTAGTCTAGTATGCTTCAAAATGATAGAAATGACTGGCAACAGGTTTGCTTTGCCTGTGGCTCTCTGTTGATGACTTAAATGAAAAGATATGTAATCAATATTTGACGATATCAATGCTGAAATATCACTATAACCACATGCTTGCGAGATGTTCTTCAAGACTAGAACGCCGATGCTGCTAACATAAGGCTGTCTGTTTCCAGCTTTCTCAAAAACTGAAGGCAAGACTCGTTGTAAGATACTCTTAAAGTGTAATCCAAGTCTTGTAGCTATACACCCAACACCTTCCATCAAGACACAAACTTGTATAATGTTATTATGGATTTCAGCCAAAGTATAGTGGTCAGTTTTAACTTCCAACGGCACGTCAAAAAACGTTGGATCCATATAAGTGAACAATACACGTTTCAATATGTCAATATTCTCAGGATTCAACTCGCAGCTAGTCAAAATTGCATTCATAAGAAGCACAGCTTCTTTAAAATTATCTCTATAGATATTGAAAAAATCTAAGATGAAGTCTACTACAGTTCTGAATGTACCGTTATTCCTGCCAAGTAGGTGGCATAGTTTTTCTATATGTGTTGTGATCGCTTCATTTCGATAGTGAACAAATTGTTTCCATTTAACTTGTTCATATGGATCATAGAATATTTTCCCCGATTCTTTCGTTTCAAAAACATCAGCAGAGTTCTTCAATTGAGAAACTGACATCAATGCATGGACCAAATTTCTCAGATGGGTTACATTAAGCAAAACATCAATTAGTTCAAACTTGCTGTACAGAATCAGATATCCAATAATAAGGTTTACTGAAGCTAGTTTTTTGCCATCATCTAGACCACCGAAGGTAGATGGCAAGTTATAAATAGTTCTGATAAATTCAGCTTCCATATAATCAAAAATGGTTCTCATTTCTTCTGTTGACCAAGTATTTGCAAGCGTTTCTAAAAGTTCCTTGCTTCTAGATCTGATAGGGGGCTCAACATCTTGTGTCATGATTATGATAATTTGTATGAAATGTCTTGCTGACTTGGGCATAGACATCAGGCAATTCTTCAATATAAGTTCAGAAGTTTTGAGTAACTCTAAGCGGACATTTGGATGTTGGTGTGTTACAAGTTTACAAAAACTTTTTACAATTTTCTCTATCTTCTCATCATTGTCTCTGTACCATTCTGGAGTCCTAGAAGTGTTTTTAAATAACTCGTCAACTTTTTCCTTTATTGTACGCTTGTTAGTTGTGCTACTAGAAGATTCTTCATGGATACTGGCTTCTTGCAAGGTGCTTCTTTGAACAGGATGGTTGTAGTTTTGCATCACCATAGTTGTCACACGGCCCCAGGCTTTCAAAGCAATCATTGGAACCTTGTGATTTATTTTTTCATCTGACATGATGATTTCATGAAGTCCTTTTGATACACCAGGTAAAAAGAATATAAACAGCTGAAAATGAAAAGGAATATTTCACTTATATGTTTCAGCAAGTTTATTAAAAATAATATGCCAGTTTCAATGACTTTGCTACAGTGTAAAGCAAATTACATTTGCATATTGGATTGCAATATACTAGGGGGTTTCTCTACTAACTGGAAAGTTGCCCATACAAAACTCTCCCAACCTTATAGATTAAAAAAATATATAGATAAATTGCGAGATACTAATTAGTGACGACAGGGGACTATTACTTCATCCAGGGGAATATTAATATGAGAGAAAAATACATGTTTTAATTGGATGTAATCAACCAAACTCTTTGTTTTTATTTATTTAAACTATAGTGATATAAAGTTTGGATATTTAGGAACAAACAATTTCTGAAATTAATTTTCATCTGAGCTAAGAAGCTTTAACTTAACTAGAAATTCTAACAGCTTACAACGAATCAGTCTTCTACTATTGCACTTTAAGTAAATATTAAAATCAACCTATGTTATTTGGTTGGTTTTTGGGTAGTTAGGCCGTCGTAAAATATTTTTACTTGACGTTTCGCCAACAAGAGTGGTTGACATCTTCAGAAGATGTTCACAGTTCGGATTCCTGTACGCTACTGACAACTCGCGGTCTTAGCTCATATTTATGTGGCGGCTTGAGTGATGGGGAGAGCTCTTCGGGAATCAAGTTTTTCCTGGTCTTCATATTTTGGATCGAATATTCTGAAATAAGACATCCGTCGTCACAAAAGCAAACTTTTCATTATGAGCTTGGTAGTGCCTTTGGGAAACCCCAATGGACACCTTGATGTGTCTCCCTACACTTGGTGAATTTTAAGGGTACCCATGAAACTTTTCAAATCAGCAACTCCTTTTTGAATATCTTCAGGCATTTTCTGTATAGCTTCATCGTCAATCGTAACCATTATAATTCCAGGACACCTTCCTTGTATCGTGTCTACGGAAGTTGTTCGTATCTCAAAAGTTTGGCCACACGTTTTTGTTCTAAAATTTAATCCCTGGAGGCCCAAACAGTCATCAAGATAAAGGAGGTACAACAGTTAGGAAGGACTGAGTCCAGAGATGGTGAGTGGCAAGAATGATGAGCAAAACCAGATTAGCCCCTTGGACCAAGCCGGAGGACCTGCGGGTCTTTCTTCAACCACACTTTCCAGATGTTCAGTGCGAAGAACATTTGTCGCCAACCCAGCCGGATCCTTAGGTCAGAAGCATCATATATCGACATTAGACTTACGAGTATATTACCAAAATGTTCATGGGCTCAGAACTAAGGTTAGTGAACCCTATGCTAACGTCTTAGCAGAAGAATATGATCTAGTTGTTTTAACCTGGCTCACAGATGGTTTCCAAGATGCAGAGCTCTTAGAAGATAGATTTATTATAGTGAGGAACGACAGGAAAGATGGAAGAAGAGGCGGAGGGATTCTTGTAGGAGTGAGGAAGAATTTGAGCATGGAACTCATCCCCATTAATATTTCTAATGATTCCAGTCTTGAGTGCCTACTGGTAAAAATAAAAATAAAAAAAAAATATTTTATGTGTGTGGTGTTTATATGCCACCAAATGTTAATATTGATATATATGTGCAATTTTTTAACATCTTTGAATCTATCTTAGATAAGGATGTAAATATTGTCATTTTAGGGGATTTTAATCTACCACAGTATGTGAATGAAGGCTGTGATAAGAGTGAGTTGTTAAATAATTTTCTAAATCTTTATAATTTGGATCAGCTTAATAGTGTGTTCAACATAATGAAAAGAAAATTAGATCTTGTACATCAAATATGCCCATAATCAATCTAGAACACTGTGGTAATCCTACTCTTAATGAAGATCAATACCATCCGGCTTTGGGTATGGTCTTATCAATATCTATAATTCTCAGATTGAATCAAAATAACAGTACATATGAATATGTCTATGATTATTCAAGGGTTCATTTCTATTTGCTATACAGATTATTGAGCAATATTGATTGGTCAGAACTTGAAACAACCTCAAATGTAGACAAGTGCACAGATATGTTCTACCAGAAGGTTTATGAATGTTTGGACCTGGCAATACCTAAAAGGAAAATTGAAAAATGCACTTCAAATGCCAAACGTTATCCAATATACTTTTCACAAGAACTAAAGAAAAATATTAAATTAAAGAAACGCCTTCACAAACAAATTAAAAAGGGCAATGCTAGCTTTCCACTAAAGAATGAATATACTGAGGTTAGAAGTGCAATTAAATATAAGACTGCAAATGAACTACAGGCCTATCATGAAAAAAATGTAAAAACTGATCCAAATGGCTTTTAGAACTTTGTCAGGTCTAGGCGTTATGGACCTGGTATCCCTGCTAAGGTATGCTATAAAGGATGTAATATTGGTGGTGCCCAGGAAATACATTTGCTCTGTATTTTAGCTCTGTGTTCCAACAATCCGAAAAACCTAACTTTGACGTTTGTAATGGTAACTTCTCATTCTCTCCTATCACAGAAATGCAAATACAGGCAGCCATTAGAAGTTAAAAGCAAAAAAGGCCACTGGCAATGATAATATTCCCTCATACATATACAAATCCTGTACAATCCGTTACAAACTATTTTTAATCTTTGTTTTAAAACAAACACATTTCCAGACACTGTTAAATATGATTTGGTTACTCCAGTCCTCAAAACAGGCAATAATTCTCTGTTCGACAACTACAGACAAAGAACAGTTGGATGTTGTTTTGAGGTCATTGAATATTGCCAAATGTCATAGCTTAACTTTTACACGAAAAGCACAATTTGTAGATTTTAAGTACAAAATTGATAACTTATTGCTAAGTAGGAAAAGTGAATGTAAGGATCTTGAGATCTGCTTTCAGACTAACCTAAAATTTAATCAGCATCATGAAACTATTGTGAACAAAGCATATAGGATCCTGGGTTTTGTGATAAGAAATACAGAGCACTTCAAGGAAACGAAGTCTATAATAATTTTGTACAACTCACTGGTCTGACCTGTTTTGGAGTATGCCCCTGTTGTCTGGGCACCCAAAACAATGGTGCATGTTGTTATGATCGAAAGGGTACAAAAAAGATTTTTAAGATATCTGTACTTAAGGACACACAATGCTTATCCATACATGATCTCTTATAATTGTATGCTAACAGAATTTAAAATTGTGCGGTTGAGCATTAGGCGTGGTTTGAATGATATCTTGTTCATTTACTATATAATTAATAATTTAAAATATACGAAGTGTTCCCTAATAAATAATATATTCTTTGCCATTCCTAGAATCAACTTGAGAATAAGAGGCAACAAACTCTTTCACTGTTCACCTGTAAGTTGTTCTTCTATCAATAGAATGATGTATGAGTGTAATAGTTGTACATAGTAAGTGACATATAAATCCGAACACCCAGTTTAAATGGTTTTATTTTAATAAAATTTTGTATAAGTACTTAATGAAGCATAATAAGTAAATGATAAAAATGTCAAAATGATTGCACTGCTTTAAAGCCCTTTGACCTTTAATAATGTGTGGATGCACCCTGATGTGCTACGCATTCTCCAACGCGCCTAGGCATGCTTCTGATCAGGTGGTCAATGTCCTCCTGTGGTATCTCATTCCAGGCAACCACCAACTCCTCTCGAAGTGCTTCTAGAGTCTGAGGAGGACGTTGCAAATTGAGCAATCTCCTACCCATCATATCCCACACGTGCTCAATTGGGGATAAGTCGGGAGATCTTGGTGGCCATGGTAACAATGTGACATCATTATGTTGAAAGAAGTCTATTGTGACTCTTGCAACATGTGGTCGGGCATTATCTTGTTGGAAAGTTGGATCTGCCAGGGTGTCAAGATAGGGTAAAAGATGGGGTTCTAAAACTTCGTGAATATAAAGCTGCGCGTTCATGTTACCTCTGATGAAGATTAAAGGTGACCTGGAACCATAAGCTATAGCACCCCAAACCATAACTCCAACAGTGTGATGAACATGTCTTTCAACAAAAAACTGTGGATTCCTCCTTTCACCTCGTCGCCTTCTAACCCTGGCACGACCATCGTGCATGCCTAAACAAAATCGAGACTCGTCACTAAAGACAATACTGTTCCATTCCTGATCCCAGAGTGACCGTTGTCTGCACCACTCAAGGCGATTACGTCGGTGTTCTCGAGTTAAAGGGAGGACCCAGTGTGGCCGGTATGAAAACAAACCAAAACTTCTCATTCGTCGGTAAACACTTCGCATGCCAATAGGTCTTCCGTGTTCTGCAAACCATTCATTTGCAATGGTCCTGGTAGTGGAGAAACGGTCCCTTAAGGCCAATAATCTTAGGCGGCGATCTTCACGGTCTGTTGTTCTACGGCGGCGTCCAGTGCCCCTTGCTTTTTGCATACGGCCTTCTCGAAGTCATGCCTGACAACACCTAACCACAGTGTCTACACTTCTTTGCACTCTAACTGCAATTGCCCGAAAAGAAAGTCCAGCTTCCGGAAGTCCCACTATACGGCCCCTATCAAACTCACTAAGTTGACGAAATCGTACAGGTCTCTGTATTCTAGGCATCGTAACCGATCGTAAAGGATGTCAAGAACCAAAATCCGCCAACGTTGATTCTTTACTGCGGCTGAAATATTCATTTTTAGAGCGTTAGTGAATTAAAAAAAAGCAGTATAAAAACCGGAATGTCCAACTGATAAGGCTGAAAATTTTTTCACTTGTTATTTATAGTAGGATAAATACATTCACCAACTTTTATTAAAATAAAACCATTTAAACTGGGTGTTCGGATTTATATGTCACTTAATATATACAAAATCGTGATGTGGATCTACTTTCGACTACTGTGAGACAAATTAAGACTGACTTTAAATTTAAGTAAAACATACTTATCTCATTTTATTTGTTTGTTAATTTTTATAGTTTTTCTTTGTTGTTATTTTTTAGTTAGTGTAGTTTTTGTGTATTCTCTGTTTCTCTGCTAGCCAGTAAGCACTCCTACATGTAACTACATTCAAATGTGTATGTAAGAGTTTAAATAAATAAATAAAACAGTTCCCTGTCTAAAAAATTGTCAGGGGACTGTGCCCAGAGGACTGTTATCTTGAAAAAGAATGTTTCTTGGCATACAGTCATTCAAAAATTTAACAAAATAAACAGTTAGACATGAAAACATACTTTTTGGGTAATTATGTTATATAATTATTTTAATTTAATCACTCAAATCAACAATATATTACTTGCCAGTGGACCAGCAGCCAAGACGTGTGGTTCACAGACAAATGCAGCAGTAATAATAATAATAACATGGTATCAAGCTGTACACTCTGAAGCTTTAAGTCATTGTTATTATTACATAGAACTTAGTAATAATAAGACCTATTATTAAATTTTGCTTGGGACATCTATTTTCCAGTTAGTGGAAAAATGCCCACTATAGTACCTATATTTACCTATAATTATAGAGCATGTTTCAAACAAATCTACCAAAACTTATTTTTTGAATGGGTCAAGTTAGTAAGCTAAAATTCTGAGTAATGAAATTGATGCATTACATTTAGGTGCCACCCCAAATACACTCCTTGCACCCCACATCATTTTGGAATTTCATAGTTTTTAGTGGTAAAAAGTGGCCAAAAAATTTGGAATTTTCGTGCAAATATTAGTAATAAGTGCAGTTAACAATCCTGTGAAGTGAGACCTGCATGCAATCTGCTTAAACAAAGTTACTTGAAATTTCTTTATTTTATATTGAACCAACGTAAGAAGTCACTTTTTTGTGACACATTCTGTGAGAACACAAGGACTAGTAGCTCAGTTTTTTTTTATTATTGTCATCATCATGAGTAAATGGCTGATGTGTCCTGACAAGGGACCTATTCTGTTGAAGAATGCTGTTCAATGTAAATCTTGCTATATATTATCATGTCATGTGGTAACAGGGCAAAGTTGTTGCCTGATGGAAGTTATAATTACTGTTGTGGTACTGGTGGTCAAGTTCATGATGAAGATTTTGCTGGACTAGATCCTGGATTTCAACTTATTTTGAAAAGGCTTGACAAAGTAGATGCGTCATTGAGTGCAATTAAGTCAGATATTCAATCCTCCAGCAACAAGCTAACAGAACTTGAAAAAAAGGTTGATACACTTGAAGAGATTGTTACTGGTGAGTCTTTATATGACGAAATGAAAGATAGGATGAATAGAGAGAAGAACTTTATTATATATAACTTTGATGACTCAGTGAACGCAGCTGCTACTGATTCTGTGAAAATAAAGAAATTGCTCGAGGATACAAAGCTTGTTATTCCATTTAACTTTGATGATCTTAAAGTTTTTCGACTTGGACGTGATTTTGTTGAAGGAAAGAATAGATTAGTCAAAGTTGTTATGAAATCCTCTGATAATGTACACTGGATTTATCATCATAGTAGTGAAATTTTTAAAATAATGTTTTTGTCAGTAGTGATCTTACAAAAAAACAACAAGCTCACATGCAAAAACTTAAAATGAAGTGAAGCATAGATCTGACAAGGAAGAAAAGGATTTAAAAATTAAACATATCATAGGTAAACCAACGATTGTTAAATCTATTGTTGCTGATAATCAATTAAATGAAAATGATGAAGATACTGAATGACTATATGATAGTTACCATAATTTGAGGATTTTTTACCACAATATTCGTAGTGTCAGAGGAAGGCTTGATGAGTTTTACTCCAGATTATGTCTTATGAATATGACATTATAGTTCTGACTGAAACTTGGCTTGATGAAGACATTACTACTGCTGAATTACAACTCCAAGATTTTACTGTGTACAGATGTGACAAGTGTGAAGAAATCTGGTGGTGGTGTTTTGATTGAAATTTAGTAAGTATTTGAATGTTATTTTAGTTAATAACTCTTATGAACAAGTTATTGTGCGTATAAAAACTCATGCAGTCATTTTTCATTAGTGTGGTCTATATACCACCCCTTCTAGGAACAGGATTGATGTTTTATTTGCTATAATTTATTTAATAACATTATTGATAATTTCAGTTTATTGTCAAAATTCAGATTTTATGTGCCACCAAGAATGTTAAGACGTAATAGTGTTTATTTTCATGTTATGTCACCTAAATCAGATCTGATAAATCATTCTCCTTTTTTTAGGTTATCTAAACTATGTAATGAAGACAGTTGTTGGCTTGATTTGTATAATTTGAGTAATTATATTGTTAGAAATTTATCAAAGTCTATGTTTACATTTGAGTAGTCTTTTGATTTTGTAATATTTGAATTTATGATTACTAGATTATTGCATTTCCTCATTTGAACATCTGTATTAAATTTCGCAGATGATTATGTTAATCTCAGTTGATTGCCTTATATACTATTATATGTTACTGTTACCACATATGTAGCCCCACTTACGCGACGTTTGCGGTGCATTTTTCTATTTATAATACACATGTATAATGGGTTCGCCCGTAAGTTGAATAAATAAATATACTAAGTGACATATAAATCCGAACACCCAGTTTAAAGGGTTTTATTTTAATAAAAGTTGGTGAATGTATTTATCTTACGGTAAATAACAAGTGAAAAAATTTTCAGCCTAATCAGTTGGACATTCCGGTTTTTATACTGCTTTTTTTTAATTCACTAATGCTCTAAAAATGAATATTTCAGCCGCAGTAGAGAATCAACGTTGGCGGATTTTGGTTCTTGACATCCTTTACGATCAGTTACGATGCCTAGGGTACGGAGACCTGTACGATTTCGTCAACTTAGTGAGTTTGATAGGGGCCGTATAGTGGGACTTCGGGAAGCTGGACTTTCTTTTCGGGCAATTGCAGTTAGAGTGCAAAGAAGTGTAGACACTGTGGTTAGGTGTTGTCAGGCATGGCTTCGAGAAGGCCGTACGCAAAGAGCACGGGGCACTGGACGCCGCCGTAGAACAACAGACCGTGAAGATCGCCGCCTAAGATTATTGGCCTTAAGCGACCGTTTCTCCACTACCAGGTCCATTGAAAATGAATGGTTTGCAGAACACGGAAGACCTATTGGCATGCGAAGTGTTTACCGACGAATGAGAAGTTTTGGCTTGTTTTCATACCGGCCACACTGGGTCCTCCCTTTAACTAGAGAACAATGACATAATCGCCTTGAGTGGTGCAGACAACGGTCACTCTGGGATCAGGAATGGAACAGTATTGTCTTTAGTGACGAGTCTCGATTTTGTTTAGGCAAGCACGATGGTCGTGCCAGGGTTAGAAGGCGATGTGGTGAAAGGAGGAATCCACAGTTTTTTGTTGAAAGACATGTTCATCACACTGTTGGAGTTATGGTTTGGGGTGCTATAGCTTATGGTTCCAGGTCACCTTTAATCTTCATCAGAGGTAACATGAACACGCAGCGTTATATCCACGAAGTTCTCGAACCCCATCTTTTACCCTATCTTGACACCCTGGCAGATCCAACTTTCCAGCAAGATAATGCCCGACCACATGTTGCAAGAGTCACAATAGACTTCTTTCAACATAATGATGTCACATTGTTACCATGGCCACCAAGATCTCCTGACTTATCCCCAATTGAGCACGTGTGGGATATGATGGTTAGGAGATTGCTCAATTTGCAACGTCCTCCTCAGACTCTAGAAGCACTTCATGAGGAGTTGGTGGTTGCCTGGAATGAGATACCACAGGAGGACATTGACCACCTGATCCGAAGCATGCCTAGGCGCGTTGGAGAATGCATAGCACATCAGGGTGCATCCACACATTATTAAAGGTCAAAGGGCTTTAAAGCAGTGCAATCATTTTGAAATTTTTATCATTTACTTATTATGCTTCATTAAGTACTTATACAAAGATCTCCCGGCCACTGGAATGAGCGAAACGTGTGTAAATAGAAATTTTTGTTTGTCAATTTGTAATGTTTTGTGAGTTTTTTTAAAGTAAAATAGTGTAGTTCCTGATAGATCCTAGTCTCAAAAACCTGTGGAAGTGTTTGATATCCTGAGTTCTCCGTATTTGCTCCAAAAACGCCGTTTGTAACATCTTTGTTTTTGTATACCTGGACCTAACCTCTCAGCAAATCCGATCAGCAGTTTCGCAGTGTTGCCACCTTTAGTTTTTCCCTGGTCTGAACCAATTCTCCCATCTGCCCTAAGGGAAGACATCTCCAAAAGAAGAAGAAGAAGATATTTATAAACAAACAAAACAATTTTATTATTGTTTTTGTTTTAATAATTTTCAATGGCTAATTGCTTTAAGTGCAATATTGAATGTATATTTAAGGAGGATAGAGAGAAGATCAGAACTTTTGGCTATCCCTGTGACTTATGTAACCGAGTCATATGTGAAAAATGCAACTCTCTACAAGCGCAAGAAATTAGAGTAATCCCCAGTTCTAATAGGACTTTAGTCTACACCTGTCCTGAATGTAAACCGCTCTTCAAGGAATCACTACAAGCATTTAAGCAAATTCAATCCCTACAGCAGGAAATCTCATTGCATAAGAAGGAGATTTCAAATCTCAAGGCGAGAGTAAAGAATACTGAAAATGAACTGCAACTGAAGGCAAATAAGGCTGATATGGACAAAGACAGGGCTGCAGTGAAATTAGTTCATGATGGATTACAAAAATCTCTGGAAGACTTATCCCTAAAAAACAAGGATGACAACTTTTCAGACAAGAATGCACTATCCATCACTTCTTTATTGCACGATAAACTTGACGATAAATTGTTGTTCTTCACTGAAAAGATCAACAATGAGCTAACCAAATCCTTGAGCTCACACCTTAACTTGATCCAGGAAACTAATAAGGAACTTCTCAATTGCATGAAGATTGAGATGAAGACATATGCAAGTAAGTTGTCCAAGCCCCCAATAGTCCATGAAATCACACAAGAGCAAACGAGTAAAGCTATCAATGATGCATTGGTTTCTATCAATGGCCCTCCAAGCTCAACTGCAGTCTCCATTAAACCTGGTCCGATCAAGCAATCTGAACATTCAACAGGTCCTAAACAACTTGGTAACTCTAACACTCTTGTCAGGGGTACAAACAAAACTTCAACTGGAATTGTAGCAGCGGAGGAACAGTTCTGGTGTTATATAGGCAACCTGGAAGCAGGAACCACAACTAATCAATTAATAAATTATCTTAAGTCCAACAACATTGAAGCCTTAACCTGTGAGAAACTGTCGTCTCAGAACCAACATGTGGCATCTTTTAAGCTCTCCGTGAAACCTGGTGTCAAGAATACATTATTTAATAGCGACATATGGCCTGAAAATGTGATTGTCAAGCCATTCAATTTCCCTAGAAGAAATCAACCATTACCATCAGCACAAGGTAGACGCTTTTTTAAAAGGCAGGCCCAGCCACGGCGCAGGAATTAACCCTATCAATGATATTAGGATTTATTACCAGAACATTAGAGGCATCAGAACTAAATTGAATGAATTTTCAAACAATGTGTCCATGGCATCATATGATATAATTATACTTAGTGAAACCTCGTTAACACCAGAGTTTAATGACTCGGAACTAGGGCTACAGAACTACTCAATTTATAGATGTGACAGAGACAACATAGCAACAGGCAAATCCAGAGGAGGAGGTGTTTTAATTGCGATCACAAAAAGTTTAAAATCGCACCAAGTCGAATTGAGGAATTTGACATCTGGGCATGAAGAGGTGTGGGTCTCTGTATCTATTGGTAAAATTAAGTCCACCTACTTCTGTGCAGTATATTTTCCTCCCCTTAGCAATTTGGTGGAATATGAAAATCACTGCAACAATATTGAAAACTTCAGTGATAGCTCTGATGTCATGTACATCATGGGAGATTACAACCTGCCCCATCTTCAGATGTTGGATGAAACCAACCTCCATGATAATGGTATTGGTAGACGGAATGCCTCCGGTGATCTTCTTGTTAGCTCCATGCTGTTTTCTAACTGCACTCAAATAAACTCGATAAAAAATTGTAACAATGTTTTACTAGATCTTGTATTTACCAATAATTCTAATTTTACTAAAGTAAATTGTGCTAATGATATACTTCTGCCATGTGACAAACATCACCCAGCATTTGTTGTAAGTATACAAAATATTAGCTGTTATAAACCTTTGCAATTTGAAGAACAAATCTATGATTTTAAAAATGCAGATTTTAATGTAATCAACAATTTATTAATTAATTTTAACTGGGATGCCTTATTGGTTGATCAATTGGATAATGATGTTGAATGTTTTTATGCTGTTATCTATGATTGTATTGATACTTATGTGCCAAGATTGCTAATAAAAAGTAATTTTAAATTTCCTGCATGGTTTAGTCCTGAACTCAAAAGTATGATTTATGAAAAAAAAGAGCTGCATGCAAAATATAAGAGAACTAATTCTAATATTGATTATGGTTTATTCTGTCATTTACGCAGATTGTGCAAAGAAAAGGTTCACCAAGATTATAGTCTTTATATAAAAAATATTGAGAATAATCTAAAAGGTAATATTAATGTTTTCTGGAAGTTCATTAAGTCTAAAAACAATCAAAATAGTATTCCATCAATTGTTAAGTATAATGAGGAAACTTTTGATAGCGGCAAAGAAATTGCAAATGCTTTTGCTAAACATTTTTCTAGTGTATATGAAACACCAAGTCCTTCACAGAGCCTTAGCACTGTTGCAAAAAGGTTCAGCTCGCCAAACTTAAATTTGAGCAGTGTATATATAAAAATTTCTGATATTTGTGAAAAGCTGGCTAGCCTGGACTTGTCAAAGGGACCGGGTCCTGATAGTGTGAGTGCATTGTTTCTTAAGAACTGTGCTTTCTCACTGTCTAGGCCTTTATGGATTTTATTTAATAAATCTTTAGCCCTGGGAGTTTTTCCAAAGAAATGGAAAACCTCCTACATTATTCCAATTTTTAAAAATTGTGGAAATCGAGAGAATGTTGAAAATTACAGGCCCATTACATTGATATCGTTAATTCCAAAGGTTTTTGAATCATTTGTAGCAGATTTTTTGAAGGAAAAATTTAAAAATGTTATAATTGCACAGCAGCATGGTTTCTGTGAAGGAAAATCTATAACTTCTAACCTTTTAGTTTATCATTCACATATAGTTGAGGCATTGGAAAATGGGCAATCTGTTGACTCAATTTATACAGATTTTGGGAAAGCATTCGACAAGTTGAATATAGATATTCTCATTGAAAAGCTCTCTTGTTACGGATTGCATGGAAGTTTATTGAACTGGTTAAGTTCTTATCTTTTTGAAAGAGAGCAATTTGTAAAAATTAAAAACTGTCTCTCAAATCCAATTGCTGTCTTGTCTGGTGTACCACAAGGTGCGCACTTGGCACCCATTTTATTTATAATTTTTGTCAATGACATAGCCCAATGTTTTAAATTCTGTTCTTTTCTTATCTATGCTGACGATGTCAAGATCTATTTACCTCTTTCTGATAATAACTCAACATTAAAGATTCAGAGTGACCTTGATCAATTTGTTAAATGGAGTGAAGAAAATAGAATGATCCTTAACACAGACAAATGTAAATACATTCAATTTTCAAAGTCTAACAATAATATAGTCAGCAGTTATCACATAAATAATACCCAACTTCAAAATGTGAATGTTGTTAAAGACCTGGGTGTTATATTTGATAGCAAAGTAACATTTTATCAGAACATAGAGGTTATAAGAAATAAAGCTTTAAAAATGTTAGGCTTCATAAAAAGAAATACATCTGAATTTACTAACATTGGAGCTATAGTAACTCTCTATACTTCACTGGTGCGATCTCATCTAGAAAATTGCAGCAGCGTGTGGTCTCCATATTATGTAACTTATCAGGACATGCTTGACGGGGTTCAGAGAAAATTTCTACGATATATAGCTTACAAAAAACACATTTCTATTGAGAATTTAGACTATAATGCTCTTGAAAAGGAGTTAAGGATTGGATCCCTAAGAGCCAGGAGAGATTCAGCAGATATTGTTTTTGCTTATAAATTAATTCATTGTGTTTACCACTGCCCAGACCTGCTTCTAAAGCTAAATTTTTATGTTTCTCCTAGGCATTTAAGAGGACGCAGATCCTTTGAACCTTGTCGGCATAGAACTTTGTATGGCTCGAATAGTAGCATGGATAGGATAATGAGAAATTGTAATGACTGTGATATAGACCTTTTTAATACTTCACTATGCTCTCTCAAAAAGTTCCTTAAAGATAGAAATCTTAGCTAAAGTTTTAAAATGTCTCAATTGCTGGTGATGTTTGCTGTGTTGTTTAGTTGTTCAGTTTTTTTAGTTTTTTTTTTTTAGTATTTGTTTGTAACTATTTTTATGCACGTTTTAATATTTTAATATTTTAATTTAGTAAATAGTCAAACTTTATGTTCATATGTTAGATTCTTTATTTAAGATGTGTGTGAATTTTATTAGGTTAAGATTGTACTTTTACAACCTGTAACCGAATGGGTTTATCCCGTAAATTTGTAAATAAATAAATAAATAAATAAATAAAATTTTATTAAAATAAAACCATTTAAACTGGGTGTTCGGATTTATATGTCTCGGTATAAATAAGGTTACTTACCTCAGATATCTGGAAGCGCATGTTTACATCCTCAAATTCTTCATCTTTTAGCACCCTTGCAACCGACATTATGCATTTCATAGCTTCAATCCTTAATGCTAGCATTGTTTCAGCTCTGGCCAGTTCTAAGGCAACGAAGACAACCATGCTCATTTTAGGGGCAAATTCCTTTTGTATATGCAGGGCAACAAATTATTTGAAACACTGCTCGAGACTGCCATAATACATTGCATAATAGATAATTTATATTCTTCACTGATCTCTTTAAGTCTATGAGTAGTTTGGTCATAGCATTCCATCAGTAGGAATCCGTAAAAATTGAATAATATACCCTCTTTCTCTATTTTGAAGTTCTTCAATGCTAGATTCAAAATATTTACTACGATACGTCTCTCGTTCTCACTCATGGCATCTTTTTTCTCTGATATACCCTTCATTATGGGGTATAATGACGGAAGCACAGTTTGCGGAATAATTTTGGAAAATGAGTCTGGGGCATATCCCAAGAGCTGTTCCATTTCCAACAAAGCGTCAACGTCGTTACTGCTTTCTATCAGTCTTTTGCATAACTTTCTGAGCTTCATAAACAACTCTACGCCTGAACGATCCAACTCTAGCGCCAAATCCATTGTGGGTGTCAATGGACAACTGAAAACTGATAATAGAGTCGGTGATGGTACAGTGTAATTATGCAGTAAAAAAATATTGGATGAGGCACTTTTTATATGGAAATTTGTTTTTCCAAAATACCATTTTCCAGTAATACCTCAACTTCAAATATCAACACAGAACAAGTGACGTCGTGACCACAAAACATATACACTGAAGAAGGTTTAATTCCATGCTATTCAATGGCAACACGGTGACTTGATAGTTGTCAGCAGCCATTTTTTGATGGTGAGACATGGTCGCCAGATTGTGCATTAATATTTCGCAGCGTTGCCAGCTCTACATATAAATCTGAAATTGCTATACTTTTATATACAGGGTGACTTTGAAGTTGAGTCATTAATTTTCAGATAATGATTGTAGAAGGAATATAAACCAAAATATGTGTGTAAAAATAAAAAAAAAATTAAAAAAAAATTTTTACCTTGTTTTATAAAGTATCCTCCCGACAAGTATTTCAGTGCGGACCTGTATTTGATCGTGAGGTCCCCTGTGAGGTCTTAAGTCACCTGATTCACGAGCCCGTTGTACTACATTAACAAAGGCACGAGGGGTTGGTTGCACTCGATTGGGAAACCGATCCGCATAAACATGTGCCATTTTTTATTTCGTTTGAGCCACGCAACAGATACAACTATTCACTGACACTTACTGTATACAAATGAATGAAATAATTCGTTCCAAATTCTTTCGCTTTTTTGTTTCCGATGCGATGAACCGATACGACGGATTATATCCGTTGTCGCCAAACACGAGCACATTGAGACAGGGCGGTACTCAAACTTCCAAAGGGCTATAACTTTGTTACTTTAATTTTACCAGAAAAATGGTAAAGGAAAAAAACATTTCTTTTGATCAGATCTACTCACTGTTAAAATAAATGACTCAACTTCGAAGTCACCCTGTATAGAAATTTAGTGGGATATGGGAGATCTTATAACAGCATGTGTTATTAACATTTTGCGCTATCTTGACGAATAAATGCTTTTTTTTGTATGTAAAAATGGCAACGCCAATATGAGTTTCACCTCCCTGACTTTGGAGAATAGACCTCAGAAGATTGATTATCGATCAGAGGCACAGAGTATTATTCAGAGGCAACACTCTGTCGAAAATCAGGTACTATTAACGCCAACTTGAGTACTATGCCTTTGATGGGATTCGTGTTGCTATGACAATTAGGATTTAAGGGCTATGAAAAATATTGAGTTTTATCAATACTATACAGGGTGTAAACGTTATGATGTTCATTATTTAAATGGGTGATATAGGGGGTTAACAGAAGCAAAAAGTTTCATATAAAATGGGGGTCAAAACGGCATTTTTTTAGAGAAAAGCGACTTTAACGTAAAATAAATCTGACAACGCCGCAAAATTATGCAAAAGGATAACTAACCACTGTTACCGTTTGCGACCGATTGCCGGTTCAATAAGAGTGATGATGACCGACGGGCTGTTGTCAAGTGTGTTTTAAATATTCAACTTAATAAAACTTACTGACTACAAATTTTGGATTAACTTAGAAAAACATGATTCCATTTATTTAATTACCCAATTTAAAAACGTTTTAGATTAGATTATAAAAATTAGTAAGATTGTGGTCGATATAAAACACAAAGTTGTAAACTATAAAGCCATTTAGACAAAAATCTATTGACTTTTGGACCATGGGTCATATGAAATTGTTTAGCCCCCCTATTACCCATTTCAATAATGACTACCATAACGTTTACACCCTGTATGTCTAATAGTTCGTTTTGTAGAATAAGCACTTTTTTAAAGAATTTTGGGAACAGACACACCAAAAGGAAATGCTCTATCTCAATAATGACTACCATAACGTTTACACCCTGTATATAAATAGCTTTTCAAGAAATGATAATTATTATCTCGCCAAAATGCAAGTAGGTAAATGAACACAAATAAATTTCTTGATTATGTTGTTTGACATATGACATTCTTGACGTCTTGCTAGTAATGTGAATCATACACGTTAGAGCTAAAAAGTTTTATGACAATGAAAATAAAAAGGTATACTTGCTTAAAATGAGTGAGTAAATAATAACATAAGGAATAAATAATCAAAAACAACAAATAAAATAAAACAGTCACTAAAACAAAACTGAAAAAACATAAACAATAAATAATCGAACACAATAAATGAACAAAAACAGTATTTTCCAAAGCAACATAGTAAATAGAATATAAATATATATATATATATATACAGGGTGACTTCGAAGTTGAGTCATTTATTTTAACAGTGAGTAGATCTGATCAAAAGAAATGTCTTTTTCCTTTACCATTTTTCTGGTAAAATTAAAGTAACAAAGTTATAGCCCTTTGGAAGTTTGAGTACCGCCCTGTCTCAATAATATCATGTGCTCGTGTTTGGCAACAACGGATATAATCCACCTTATCGGTTCATCGCATCGGAAACAAAAAAGCGAAATAATTTGGAACGATGTTTTTACAATTATTTCATTCAGTTCGGTTATACATACAGTCAGTGTCAGTCGCGTGTGAATAGTGTCTGTTGCGTGGCTCAAACGAAATAAAAACTGGCACATGTTTATGCGGATCGGTTTCCCAATCGAGTGCAACCAACCCCTCGTGCCTTTGTTAATGTAGTACAACGGGCTCGTGAATCAGGTGACTTAAGACCTCACAGGGGACCTCACGATCAAATACAGGTCCGCACTGAAATACTTGTCGGGAGGATACTTTATAAAACAAGGTAAACATTTTTTTTTAATTTTTTTTTTATTTTTGCACACATATTTTGGTTTATCTTCCTTCTACAATCATTATCTGAAAATTAATGACTCAACTTCAAAGTCACCCTGTATATATAAAACAGAATTCTTGTTCCGTTTTAATTTTTTATTTTCTTTGTCATACAACTTTTGAGCTCTAAAGTGTATGATTCACATATTAATATACTTCAAAATCAGTCAACCATGATGGAACTATACACCACAAAACATATACACTGACTATACAGCTCTCAGGAGGCGAAATTTGGCAATGCAGCGCTGTCAAAATTCGCATTCATTCGACCCATCGACTACTAAACAGTAATGTGTTTTGTGACAGGGGGCTGAAACGTCTTATGGGCGAACCGGCAATGTCAAGGTCATCCTCTCCAGGCAAAATCGAGGTAACTGTATTACCGGCACCTTGTGGCATCTGCTTGCCGGGATTCAGGGTTGCCAGATGTGCCGATTTTTCGCCAAAGTGGCGATTTGAGGGCTTCAAATGGCGATCAATTTTTGCCGATATGTGTATACAGGGAATATCAAATTTGTCTGACGGCTTGAGTTCAATTTGTAGCAACGGCGACACAGAAGCTCGGTAAGCTTCCGCATTGCCAAAATGTTAAACCAGAAAATGCTCGCACAGGCTTCTACAATAGGTTACGTTACTGTCAAACCCAAGAAGGAGGCTTACTCGAAGCAGGGCGACACTCCTCAATGAGCGCTAGATGGTTACTGACCAAAATCGCTCGTCTATGATCATGGAGGTTGAAACCTTGCCTTGGAATGTACAACATCCGTAGAGAGTAATCTACGAGACATCCCCCCTCCCCCATCTTTTAATGAAAATATTTTTTTCACACGTTGCAGCCCAATGGCAGTCGGACTTTTTTTTTGAAAGGAACTTTTCACAGAATAACCTTCCACCTGTTACGCGCCAGGGTGGAACGATTGTAACCGACTCAAAGGCTTCGGCAAGATATCTGCTGCCAAGTCGACCACAGACAACCCCCCCAATGTCGGAGTGCTGTCTATTTAAAGGGTTCCCTTCACTATGCGGGAAGTAACATTCAAGTATAAGACCGTAAGACTAGTGCTTTTGTCTCTCGACATCAACAAAGCTTCTGGCCCGAACTTGATTCCTGCCGCTGGATTGAAGATGTGTGCAGCAAAGCTTGCTCCATTTCCTTCGCGTCTCTTCCAGATATCTTACGAACCCGGCACCTTCCCAGAAAACTGGAAATTTGCTCATGTCTAACCCATCCCAGGGGATCCAAGACCGACCCTTACAACTACAGGTCTAAAGCACTGGTTTCTGTTTTAAGTAAGGTGATTGAGAGGTTCAGAAATCACGAGCTTCTGGAGCACCTCGAACGTCACTGCTTGACTAGCGACTGGCAGTATGGTTTCTGACACAGGAAATCTCCTACCTTACGTCACGTAATAATTGTGGAGGAACCTTCACGTTGGAACAATCTACAAGAGGAAGCTTTTCCCAGTTCTACTAACCTTAGGCAGTTCAAAAATCGGAATAACAAAATTTGTTTCAGAATAAAAAAAAATAAAAATCAAATTTCCGTAGACGAGACAAAAATCCTTCAGTCGTTTTTTCATATGGATGATACAAATGAGGGAAGTCCCTAAGACATTAATATACGAGTATAACAGTATCAACTGCGCAGAATTCTTCAGACAAATTTGAGTGTCAGTGTATGGTGTGCCGTAGAAAAATCATACCACGGTTCTTCAACTTTCGCCTGTTGTCATTCGAGAATCACAAATTTTACTAAAAAAATACTTGGACCCTTTTTGTAGACAATTTTATTCTCTACTAAATATGATAGTAGTCTTCATATGCTTAGGTTGTTAGTTTAGCCGTTATAAGCGGAAATATCATTACACCCTTGCTCTAAAATTTCTCGTTAACTGCTGAATACACGTCAAATTGTCATAAAAGCAAAATGATCAAGAATTTGACTCTCCAAAAAATGTTCTCATTATCGGTAGTTTACGAGATATCCGATTAAACTGGCGGCAAGAACTCCAGTCCTAGGATGACTTCTACTTATCATGAACGATACCGTCAAACAAATTTAGTGTCACGCAA